TAGGAATGAGAGGGAGTGACTGGCCCTAAATCACCCATTGGCTTTGTGCCTAAGGCAGGACTACAACTCATGGGTTCCAGGGTTCAAATGAATAGTTTTATTAGATTTATTAGGATACAACAATACAAAATATAAGCAAAGCATGCTGTGTTACAGTAGAAGTGGAAAAGCATATAAACCATAAAATATTCATCAATCATCAACTAGCCAATGAACTGGCAAAATAACTCAACCTTCCTCTTTAATTGTCTACATTTGTCATTACTTTGATAGCCAATGCCAAGAACTGAGAGCTGTTGCAAGGATCACCTTATAATTTCTATCCGGCAGTATAAACACCCTGACATAGTCAAAATTAGTTGATAGGCCAAATTAAATCCTAATGGGTCCCTGTTCTCGTCTGCCTCTACTTTTTGCTATTGCAAGTTTAAAGTATTCGTATAGTAGGAATCTTCTCAGATCTGCCTTCAGCATATGTAAAGAAGGACTTTCATCTAGCCTTGCTGAGTGCTCTCTGGCATTTACTATAGTTAAGATGGTTTAAAGAAGGAGTCAATGGGAAGGCATAGTTCTAGTTAATGCTAGGGAAAGGAAACCTTCTAGACACATAGTATTCAATAGGTGAAAGGTGTCACTCTCCCTGTTACCTGCTTAACAGATGACAAATTAGAATGCTTTGTGCTACTCAAGAAGATGACCCCACATCCTTGTCTTTCCCCCCCCCCCCCCCAGCAGTTCAAGAGATTCCAAGATCACAATCCCTGTTAAATCAGAGGAAAAGAAACAGTTTTATTGGGTGTTATTTTTACTCATCAATCTGCAAGGGAAGATCCACATTACCTTGTGATGGGAGTGCATACAGAGCCCTTGGGTGACTCCCACGTCCCATACTTCGAAGTAGGATTGTATAGGCTAATCATACAATGTGTACATGATCCCAGACCATGTTTCTTACTTCCAGTCACTATTTCTGAGACATAAGGACCCCTTCTAACACATGCAGATTCTATGAAGGCCATGCACTGTATGTACAGAAATAGTTTGCTTCCTATCAACCTCAAAGCTGCTATTTCGCCCTCTCAGATTTAGGTTGACTTGTAGGTGAATTTTTAATCCTAAATGATACAACCAAAATCATTAGCTGATTTTGGTGAGAAAATGCATTACGGGAATTCTCTCACAATACATGTGTATATTCCATTGTGAACAAAGTTGTGAACTCAACTTTAGCTATTGGCTCCTGCCCAGAGAGGAGCCCACAATCTGAGCTACCCTTTCCAAATTAGGATCTTGGTCAGATTCCTGACACATTGTGGCAAATAGAAAACTCTGTCTCAATCCTAAGAAGGTAGGGTGGAACAAGGAAAGGAATGCATTTTAATTTTTCTGACCAGACAATCATGGGCTCAGTTACCGCATGAAATTTGAAAAGTATCCTCACCAAAGAACTTTCTTACACTCTGAAGTTTTAATGAAGTTTTAAACTGATTGTATTTCTCAGTCACAGCAGTTTGGGCAATAACTTCAGAAAACCATAATATGCCATCAAAAATCCCATGCTGAAATCCAAATCCAAACTGACCCAGGAGTAAATCCCTTTTCCCAGCCAGTCTCATCAGGATCTAAGGTAAAAACATTCAGAAGGACTCAAAAGCCAATGCAGCTTCTGTAAAAGCATTGACAGGACTGAACTGTTCATATAAAACTTGGATGAGATACCATAATGCTATAAGACATTCAAAGGCCTGGGAAGAGGGTGGATGGGTAAAACCTCTGAAATCAAAGCCCATAAAAATCCTGATCTTGCGGGG